ATTGGAAGAAGAATTTTAAGTTTTTCTTTGGGGTTTTGTAATACCCAAAGTCTTTTCAGGAAGTATTTTGGGGGAAAAAATTCTAAATGTGTTTAAGCTTCCATTTTCACGTGTTCTGTGCTGCATTTATATTTTCACATGGCCTCTCATTCTTGAGTTTTGAAAATATGTACTTGATGAACCTTTTATCTGCACTGGCTAAGCAGACAGAGGTTAAATTAGAATCAAATACCGTGAGCTTTCTGTTTATGAAAAGCTTTATTTATTCTTGTAAATTGTTGCTAGATTTCTGCAATAGAAAAAAAGATTATGGGTTGAAAATTTCTAGATTTTTTTTGTTGTTCTTTTCCCACCACATTGCTTTGGAGGTTTAATCAAGGATCAATCCCCCCTGTGCAAAGTACTCTGTAAACATGGGAAACCTCTTGCAGTTCTTGAGAAAGAAAACTATTTATTTTCAGTGTTAAATGGTGTATCCATTTTTTTTCCTGTTTAATTTGAATGGACATTTTCTGAGATGAGGAAAAGATTATTTAAAAAAAAATAAATAGTAGCAAGATGGCAGAAAGGCACTATGAAAATCTAGAGCACTGTGGTGTAAAAAATCCAACACTAGAAGTTGGGTATTCTTACTATCAGGCGTGAGACTGTTGTGGAAAAATTAAAAGGTGTGCATTAGCATGTGCTTAACTAATGATCTCAAGCATTTTTATATTCAGATTTTAAACCTCAACATTCTTGTGGCCCAGGATGTGTTCTCCGTTCAGTTTAAAGTCATTTTAGTAATACCTTCTGTAGAGCCTTGTGTGGAAAAAGTTCTGTGAGTATAAAATGGCACTGTGTTATGGCAGTTCTAACCTTGGCATCTAACACTTATAGAAAAATTGCCATACTTAATTTTTACAAAATCAATTTTTCTTGAAAATAAAATTAATTTGTTTAATAAAATCATCTAGCATTAAGTGTTGTGAGTTAAATACAAATTATAAGGAGAAGAAGCATGGCTACTTAAATATTAAAAAATGAAATGTGACTTTAGTTCAACAGCCTCTTTTTTTTTTCCTAAAAGAGGCTAATATTGGCAAAGCAATTGGATGTCACTCTCTCTTATGAAGCCAACTGAAAAACAAGAATAGAGGCGATTTTCACTTTGCTACTCTATTTAAATCTGGCCTATTCTTTTATATAAATATGCATTCCGAAATGGGAAAAGGGAAGATGCTGCTGGTGCAGAGTTTGATAAGAAGCATTAAAACAACCTTTGCCTTTGGACCCTTTGGTGTAATGGAAGGATCTCAGCCCCTGTTCTGGGCAAATGTCATTGCCTGGTAGTAGAAGGCTTCATCTTCTCACCTAATGACTGACAAGTTTTTAGAGATGACCAAGGGAGAGATAGCTCAAGGAGTTAATTTGTAACTGGCACAGACAACATCAAAAAGGTCTGTTAGTTGAAAAGTTTTCCACAGTTTATCTGTAGAACATGTGGTTTTGGTTTAGTTTTATAAACGACAGTTTTAACAGACATACTAGCATTGAATGCAGTTCTGCCAAGCATAAATAAAAGTAACAATGTCTGAAAGGAATAAATGGTATGGTGTCAGATAGAAGGGAGTTTGTTGTAAATCTGCAACCACCTGAGCAATAAGGTTAAGCAGTTTCATGGTGTTACTGCACTGCATCTTTTAAAACCTACAGGAATGCTGGGGGGTTGGGTCTTTTTTAAGTTACAACTTTCATTTCTCAGGGCTGCAAATATGCATCCAATTGACAAGTGGCAGTTATAGAAGAATGCCAATTTCTTAATGTGGATTTGCACTGGATAGTAGCTGTATGAACATAATGTAGTGCTCTGCTGGCAGCAAGAGTTGCAGTAGTGTTTGTTGTGTGGTATTTTTGTAAATGGAAAAAGATCGTGTCTCAATTTATTGCTCTTACTACACACTTAATTTTACTGCAGCTTAACATGCAAATCACATACAATGATGATTTATGTGGTTGTGTGTTTTTTTTCCACTGGCATGAATCTTCATATTAAAGAAGCCACTAGTGAGTGTAGAAAATAGAATGTAATATTACTGTATGTGATAATGGATGCTATAGTGGTGTTCACCTAGTCTGTTTTGGAGTTGGGTTTTTCTTTTTCCTTGTTTTGACTTTCTGTAATCAGTAAGCACCTGATAGTATTCTAGAAACTGGTCTTCTCCATGGTGTCAAACTATGTGTGCACATCTACTTAAGCACTAATCATAAATGCAAATCTAAATAAGGGGGTTATTGTCCATGTAGGTTGTAAAATGCATGTAGATTCTATTCTGTAAAAACAAATTATTTGAAAAGAATTACGAACAAAATAATATGGTCTTGGAAGAGCTGTATACACACAGAAGTGGATGTATTATATTGCAAAATTACAGAATGGTTTGGGTTGGAAGGGACCTTAAAGATCATCTAGTTCCAATCCCCTGCCATGAGCAGGGGCATCTTCGACAGGACAGGTTGCTCAAAGTCCCATTCAGTCTGGGACACCCAACACTTCCAGGGATGGGGCATCCACAGCTTCTCTGGGCAACCTGTTCCAGTGTCTCACCACCTTCAAAGTGAAGAATTTCTTCCTTATATCTAATCTAAACCTACCCTCTTTCAATGCAAAGCCATTCTCCCTTGTCCTGTCACTACATACCCTTGTGAAAAGTTTCCTCCTCAGCTCTCTTGTAGCCCCCTTTAGCTTCTGGAAGATGCTATAAGGTCTCCTCAGAGCCTTTTCTTCTCCAGGCTGAACAGCCCCAACTCCCTCAGCTTGTCTTCACAGGAGAGGTTCTCAACCCTCTGAGCATCTTCATGGCCCTCCTTTAAACTCACTCCAGCAGGTCCATATCTTTATTTTCTTGGGGACCCCAGAGCTGGGCACAGTAGTCCACGTGGGGTGTCACAAGAGCAGAGTAGAGGGGGAGAATCACCTCCCTCGACCTGCTGGTCACACTGCTTTTGATCCAGCCCAGGATACAGTTGGCTTTCTGGGCTGCAAGTGCACGTCACTGGGTCGCGTTAAGCTTCTCGTCAACCTAACCATTATATGTACTTGTCATCTCTTGAAGAATACCTATTAAAATAAAATCTTTTAAATCATTAGTTTAATCTGTCTTAATAGTTCTTTTCATTTGATTGACAATTAGAAAATTAATGGGGAAAAGCCAGTTACTGCCATACTCAGCTTCAGGATTGAAAGCTGTTCCTTATTTTTTTTCCTTAATGATAGAAATATATAAAATACTGGGGGAAAGGTCAGGATGAATTGCACTCTTGCATATATTTTGTTGTTATTTGTCTTGTTGATAAAGGTTTTGTAAACTATTCTGTTTCTTCTAGTGTAGAAGATAATACCATTTGAAAACGTAACACTTAAGGGAACATATTGGGTCACGAGATCCTGTCCATTGCAGTTACAGAGAACCATGTCATATAATCCCAACCATAAACTGATCGTATCCCAACAGGACAACAGCTATTGTTTGTCCTCACTACTCACATAGAGTGTTGTCCTGCAAATTCAGGTTAAAACTATTCTGATTTCCAGCTACAGCGTGCTTGTGACCGTTTCACAGGCAATTCTAAAAGTACAGTTTTCTTTCAGCTGTCAGAAGCGAGCTGCACACCAAGGCAGAATTTAAGAAAACACTGTCAGCTCTGTCTCATTTTTCATCTAAGACAATTAGGCTTTTTTAAGACCTATTCTTCCCTGCAGCTTATCACTAAGTTTCTTGGCATGTTGTATTCTGCACGTAATAGCTGGTATGCAGCAAGTCTCTCTGGACTTTAACAGTTTCAGTCCTGCCAAAGCTTCAAATGCCACGAGATTGCCTTCCTGAAACCACTCAGCAGTCACTTTAATTTTTTTTCTCCCCAGGTAGGGCAGGGTCTCCTAACAATATTTAAGTGGTCTGCATGTTTCTTCCTCACAGCTGCCTGTAGAACAGAGCATACCAGGGCACCCTGCACCGTGTTGATTCTGCTTTCAGCACATATTTGCTGGGTTATCTGTTTCCTCTCGTAATTTTACAAAACGGATGAAAACAAATGCATCTTGGCAAGTTGCTGTGTGCATATGCACAAACATGTGAAAGGATTTATTTGTGAGCAGCAAGTGGCACCATGTTACTTGCTGTCAATGAAGGTGACTGCACCACTAACATTACTTTCTACGTAGAGGTTAAGAGCTTAAATGAAGTTGTGCATAGCAGAAATACACTGGTTTGTACTGTATGTGATTTATGAATTGGAGGGCTGTCAGGTCCTAACCAGAAACAATTTGTTCTAGATGATCCCAAAGCTGTAACTGGTTGTTCTGATATAAAGAAAGCCTCAACTGTGAATGCATTGACTTGTATTTAGCATAGATTTCTTTTTCTTACAGTACTTTTATGGAGTATGTAGTCTTTGCTGAAAGAAATGCATGGGTTTAATTTGCGTGAAACTTGGGGACAGTGACTTCTAAATATAAATTTCTGATTGCCAAAGTGTTTTTTGTCCAAAAGATAAGTAGGAGTTTAATACAGAAAAAAATGTTGACCATATACTACTTTGAAAAATAACAAATATAAAATCTGTGGTCATAACTCGGTGATATTATAACATTTTAAAAAATTCTTTGGCATCTGCATCTGATGTTAGTGTTAAACCAGAAATTCCTAAAAATGAAATCTGTATCTTTACTGAAATTTATAGTTGAAGGAGAGCTATTACACTACTGCATACTTAGTAATCCAGTAATTTTATTTTTATATTTTAAAGAAATCACTAAAATAATTAGTACTTTTAAGTACTAATATAATAAGAAAGAATAAATCTGCAACCTGTTTTATAATGGTTACACTTTAAATTCCTCACTTAAGCATCTCCTAAATAAATTGGTGTTTGATTTATTAGTTGTTATCTGCAAGCTTATAAGTACTCCTTTTGTTATTTGCCATTTTATTTTTTATTTGTTTTTTTTTTATGTACAGGATGTGAATGAAGATCCTGGAGAAGATGTTGCACTTCTCTCTGTTAGTTTTGAGGATGCAGAAGCTACTCAGGTTTTTCCGAAGCTGTACCTCTCCCCACGTATTGAACAGTGAGTGAGACAGGGTTTTTTCTGGAATGTTTATTCTACTTCATTTCTGAACTTTACAGTTTCTTCCTGATATGTGTGAGAAATGTTGACTAGGTGATAACATGCTATTGCTTCAAATTGCTGAAAGTTATAGTGATTACTGCAAGTGTATGTGTGGTGGAGAAATGATAGATCTTCTTTCAGCTAGTTTTATATATGCCTGATGTTCTTGTAGCATCATAATCTCTGAAAACTATACTGTATTTTCCTGTAGCAGTATATTTTGAATGCCTCCTATGTTACAGCTGATAGCTTTTGTGAGGGGGGGTGTTCTATTTGGAAGGTAAGTTCTCTGTATAAACATAATACATTTGAATAAAGAATTGTTGTAGTGGCTAAAGGGCTTTGTTAGCTATGTTTTAGGAATTTGCAGGTTTATAGGTTACTTTTCTCAGAAGAATCTCTGAATATTTCATTTTAGGAGTGTTGAACCTTACTGATTTGTTTACCAGTTGGCAAAGAGATTTGCTGAGAAACAAATTTCTGCTCCTAAAATGGAAGGGTGATGATTAGAAATCGATCTGTTTTCATTAAATTTCTTTTATTCCTTTTCTGGAATTAAGAATGTTTTAAATGCTTCTCCTTCCCTTCAGTATCTCAGTCCTGTAAAGTGTCAAAAAAGTAACTATGTTAGACATTTCAAGTATATCACAATCAAACAGATCCAGCATTGTTTGAGTGATGTGTTATTTTTTTGGTTAATACTGCAGTTACTTTCCTCCGAACTGGTGATGATTCTTCTGTGTAGAGAAGAAAAGATAGGAAATACTGACTACCACAGTTTTATAATAACTTGGGGATAAAGTTTGTGTGAGTGAAGAAACATGGTATCTTGACATTTTACTCAACAGAGCATTGATCTGGATAAACTCTTGGATGCAGTTTAGACAACAAAAAACAGGATTTGATTTAGATAAAGGCATAAGATTTTAGGATACTTTATTTAAGAAAATACATTCAAACAGACAGCATATATCGGTACCAGGAGCAAGATCGGGATAGAGATTGGAGCAGGGCCCTGGACATGGGTCATAGGACCAGGACTGGGATTGGGATCAGGATGGAGAGAGAATGCAGGAGTGGGCTCCTGAGCATTTGTCATAGAACTAGGATTGGGCAGCCGTGACCAGGATGGGACTGGGATTGGAGTGGGGCCCTGGGCATAGAACAAGGACTGGGCCCAGGCAGGTGGGAGCAGGGCAGCAGCCTCAGGGCCTGGGACACAGAGGCACTTCCTGCTGTCCCAGGGCTGTTAATACCAACAGTCCTTAGATGTTACCAGGAGTCTTTGGTTGGCTCCACAGCCATCCGGTATCAGTGTTTGAGACATACACATTCTCTGACCTCCTGGGAAGCAAGAGCTCCAAGGGTCTCACTTTGGACTGCTGTTTATAGGGTTTTTAGAGAGTGAGCTTTAGTCATAGCAATTTTCTGCCTGGCTACAGTTCGAATCAGGAACTCTCTTTGAAGATTCAGTAGCAAAAATATTATCCCACTTGGGTTGTTATTCAGGCAAGAAGAATGAGTTTCCAAGTCTGCTTGTTAAAAAACAGGTGCTCGTTAGTCACCTGTTGGTCCCTGGGAACAGACAGTGTTTCTGATAAGCTCAAGAGGCCCAGGGCTGGGCTGTGACTGTCAGGGTGCACAAAGAGTCCTCAGCCTCATGCTCTGAGCTTATGTAGTTTCACAGAGTATAAATCAAAATATTCAATAATTCCTCATGAGGGGCAGCACTGATCTCTGCTCTCTGTGTGACCTGAGGGAACGGCTGGAGCTGTGTCAGGGAGGGATATTAGGAAAAGGTTCTTCCCTCAGAGGGTGGTCAGTCAGTGGAATAGGGTCCTCAGGGAAGTGGTCATGGCCCCAAAGCTGAGAGAGCTCAGGGAGCTTTTAGACAACAGTCTCAGGCACATGGTGGGATTGTTGCGGTGTCCTGTGCAGGGCCAGGAGTTGGACTTGATGATCCTTGTGGGTCACTTCCAACTCAGGAGATTCCATGACTCCTGGTATCTAGTAGCTTTTACATTTTCATATTTTATATCAATTCACTACTTTTTGTCAGCATTAATTGAGGGAATAATTGTAGTCCAACATGTAATTATCCTTCCATGTTTCAAAGGATTCTTCTTCTGAGCTGTTCTAAAAGCGAATGGGCTGCCATTAGTCACCATTGTATTTTCAGTTGTAGTCACATATTGATGTTTAAGTGTATTTCAGGCCACCCAGGTATGTCTGTCTAAATGATCCATGAGCTAATGAATACATTGCTTATTTTCCCACTTTCAATAATAGTATCTTTAAAAAGGTGTTAACCTCTTGATACCAAGCAGAATAGCAATACAAAGGAACTCTTTTTCTTCTTAAAAGTATTGCATTTTCTCTCAGAGCCCTAGAGAATATCTCATGTTAGATGTGTGATGTAGAGCAATACAGCAGAAAAATATTTGGGGGCTGTTGGTACGTGTCTGACATGTCTGATGTATTTATGGCTTCATCATTTATGTAGTCATGTTAAAATCATGCCAGTAAACACTGGAGTTCCATGCCACACCATGGCACATTACTGATGTATCAAAGTCAAGATACTTCACTCATCTAACTCAATTTCATCACAGTATCTAGGTACTGGTAACCTGTAATACCAGAGCTGCTTGTGAGCTGTTGCACCTCCCTTAGTTCTACTGGCTACTTTTTTATGTGCCATGAAAAAATGTCTGGGTAATAATATTTGTTCAATTGTGCTTTAATAACAAAAGATGTAGTCGTCTCTTGTTCTTTTCCCAAAACCAATCTCCACTCTGTTTAGCAGGGGCTGACAGTCTAGATATTTAACTTTCCAATGTTTGGGAACTGAAGCAACAATGCATACTTCTTTATACTTTTTGCCAAAAGTACAAAAGGCCTGAAGAAGCCCTGAGGATTAGTTTAATGACTTGAGTCCATGGCATGTTACATTTGAATTGTGTTCTGCTTATAAAAGTTCTTTCCTGCTGCTAGCAGTAATTGTATCTACAAAAGCCATGTAAGCAAATTACCCATGTATTTTTTTTTTTATGCAGCATATTTTGAAGTGAACTAAGTAGTGGTTGATAGTTCCCAACATAACATCCACAAGTACTCAACAAAACACGAAAAATACCGAATTCCCACAATTATTTTGCTAATACTAAAATCTGTTCACCTTAGGAAGAACGAGCAAACAGGAATAGCATTTTCCTGACATATGAAATAACATGTCAGCTTTGTAGAGAAATAAGAGCAAAGGGCCTGTTTGTGTAACACAAGTTATCTCCTGCTTTCCCAAGAGGTTTGATTGCTTTTGTGCTTTGCCATATAAACATGCATTCCCACATTGCATTTTCTGAAAATGATACATACCCACAGATCTTGTCAGCAAATTTGAGTCCTAGCAATATGAATATAGTTTTTTTGTTTTGAAGGGTTTTTGTAAAGCGTGATTGCTCTGGTTTTAGATGTATAGCAGACATAATACTAGCAAGACTTTGACTGCACTTTGTCATAGACTCTGGAAGAGATTTCCAAAATGAGGGAAATGTCCACCTTTTATGGTTTGGCTTGAAAAAGCTCGCATATTGAAGCAGGGGGTAGAAATGCAGTAGAGAAGTATTATGGTGTGATATCTGGCTACAGAGTGTCAAGTCCAGTTCTTACAGTAAAACAACCAACCCCATACTTTGGGACAGGAAGCATTTGTATTAATTTATAAAAATCTCAGCAATAACTATTCATAACCTGGTTTAATTCTTTCATTAAAACTTGCTAATTTGAAAACATTCATTTCAATACTAATTGTTCAAAACACATTAACAGCAACTTTTAGTTAATAGTTCCTTAACTTGAAATCAGTCACTTAGAAAAGCTTTCATTTTATAATTTGAAGAATTTTTCTTTTTCTTTGTTGTGCTGCATCAGTAAGCATATAGATGCCAATAACAGTTGCTTTCAGTTATTTCAAAAATTAGATCAAGTTAAAATGAAACAGGAGATATTTATGATTTGTATTTATTTGAAGAAAACCTACCATTTTTACTCTAGTATCATAGAAAACAGTTTTTGCACACTTCTGGAGGAAGTGGTAAGCTGAGAAACTGCACAGACTGACCACACAACTTGAGAGGATAGTGCTCATCAGCATCCATGAGTGTGTGTCTACAGCTCATCCTTCACCTCCTCCCACCTCAGGATGTGGGACTTGTTGCGGGATGCTCTTCCATCCTTCACTGATAGCTGCTGTGCTTTGGGTGGAGGGTCATACAGCTGAGCTAGGTAGGCACAGATACATTCTGAGGCTGTTTCTGCACTCTTTGGCATAACGAGGAGCTGCTGGGATATTTACCCTTTATGTCTGTCGCATCTCACGTGTTATTCATAACATCTCAAAACCTGTCAGTAGAAAGCATCTTGCTTGTTCAAAATTGCCTTTCTAGTGAAAGTACATTAGATATTCATATGTTAATGAAATTTTTAATAAAACTGTCCATCGCATCTTTGTTTTCTGTTTATTAAAAGTCATTAGACTCTAAATCCAGACAGTTAGTGCAGGATTGAACAGCTCATTTCTATATTAGTGTTTAAAATGTGTGTCAGCATACTACACATGAATGTGGATCAGAAGGTTCCGGATTTTTTTCTTAAAAGAAAAAAAATTATATATGTAATTTTTTTTCCTTTCATGAGTCATCCATGCTAAAGAAAATAAAACTGGGTTCATCTTGGTTCACATTTTAAGAAAAAATATATAAGGGTAGAAACACTGTTACTCAGTGAGTTCTGTCTTCCCTGTGTTCACAGAAATAATCCTGCAATAAACACTGTTGTCCTGGAGGGCTTTTCTCTGATAAATACGCAGACGTGAATATGCTAAGAAAACCAGCTGTCAGTAGAACTTGTTTTGCTTAAATGGATCAGGCTCCATGCTTTGGGGACTGAAATGGTCGTTT